TCTCTCTCTCTCTCTCTCTCTCTCTCTCCCCCCCTCTCCCCCTCCCCTCTCTCTCCTCTCTCTCTCTCTCTTTCCTCTCTCTCTATCTCTCTCTCTCAAAGTAAACATTAAAAGAAATAATAAATGTTGAAATTTAATCCACAAAAATGTAAATTCCACAGGAGCAAGGGTTGGCCTGTTTGGTTGCTGTACCCAGAGCACCTCCGAGAATGGTGCCTAGCATATGGGCATTCGTATTTGTTGGGTATATTTGTGAACAGCTTGATTTATTAAACATTGGGTAACTTGCCAACAGTTTTGACCTACCATCTTTATAAGACATATAACCTATATTTCACACTTTTTTTTTTTTTTTTGGATAATTGGTATTTTCTTCACTTCTGACTCTAGGTTTGAAAGCAGATTGCCCTTTTTTGAACTCTTAATTTTATTTTTAAGCAAACTCTACACCCAGCATGGGGCTCGAGCTCCCAACCCCCAGATCAAGACTCACATGCTCCACTGACTGAGCCGTAGACAGGTGCCCCTGCAAGCAGATTACTCTCGTAAAGAGAGGCTTGTACAGTAAGAAAACAGTGGGGCTTTGAAGCCCAGAGGAGGGGTGGGGTGGTAGCTGTTAAGTGGCCATGAGGCGTCTTGCTTGCTGGTCTGGTCGCCTGTGTATGGGGGCAGGTGTCTCCCCCTGTAGGGCCGGGTAAGAGGATTGCATGACACAGCTCACATGAAACATTGCAGGCTCTGGTGTGTAGTCGGCACTCGAAGAAAAGAGATTTCCTTTCCCTCGGGGGTGAGTTGACCTTTTTAACAGCTTCTGAAGTTAGGGGAAAAAATACTTGATTGCTGACAGTATGAAAAGAATAGTAACGATCGGGTACCTCTGATAGAGTAAAATCCTTAAAGTGTCATAAACCCCCAAAAAGGGAGTAGACTGTTACATTACCACCTGGCATTACATCCACCCTGAAATTTTGGGTTTTGACAGTTTTAAGCCATTTAAATGAAACTTAATTTTAATAGGCTTTTACAGAGTAATGATAAAAATATTTGTGTGGCAAAGATACAGCCAAAGTAGTTTTTAATGTGGTTGCAGGTGTATTCAGGGGACATGCCTGACTTCTCCTAAAAGTTTCTCTGTGGTCAGCCTTCGTGTTTGCCCCTAGGGCTTTCTTTAGGAGTCTTCCCTTGGTTTATTCACAGAGCACAGATAATTCTGTGCTCTTCTTCAGACACACACACACACACACACACACACACACACACACACACACCCACCCTAGTGCCCAGCTTCTCAGGCACTCACTCTTTGTGAGGTCATTGTTGCATTTGGGTGGGGGTTGGGGGGACAAAGAAGATGGGATAAAAGTTTTGAGAAGACCTGGTAAAAACTCAGTTTTTTACATTTTTTTCAGAGTGCACTTTTCAGTGCTTTTACAGACCTATGAATCCCCATCACTTTTACTTAAAACGGTAGAATTCAGAAACCCAGAATGTAAAATATTTTTATAAAAACAACACAGAAAGCCATATGTATGGCATGGCAAAATCTGATTATTGCAGGCTTTTGAATATTTTGCCATGGTTAGGACATAACATCCGTGTTAGATTGTGAGTAGTGTGCCTATTTTCTCAGTAAGTTAAGTCACAAACCCAAGAGCCTCGTCTCTCTTCCCCAGCTGCATCACTGAACCGGTCTTTTCTGAGAGTGGAGAATGCCATCTTCCTGGTGCATGGTGGGATCTTTGGATGACTCCCATTTTCGCTCCCCTTCATGGCTTCAGATGGTTTCACTAACGGTTGAGCGGACTGGGTGTGAATGTTACTGACAACTTGATGAAGGGGCCAAGTCCCTCTTTTTTCTTCTTTCGAAAATGCCTTTGCTCCTTCACCCAAAACGTTTCCTCTCCCCATGTGGTCTTTGCAGACTTGACTCCACCTTTACTGGCTGCATTAATATTGAGACAAAACACGTATTTATGCTTTAATTTGACCGCATGCTAGTATTTACAAAGGCTGTCTCATCACCTCCTTGTCACCTCCTTCTGTAGAAACGAGCCCATTCAGGTAGGTAGCCTGCTGTTTCTCAGGTTTTCCCATATTTTGCTTTAAATAGGACAACCATTTCATTTCGTATCTCTACGTGTTTGAAATTTCCCTAGGAATTCTACCTTGTGTAAGATCAAAGTATTTACTTTACCGACAGCCTAAATTTTTATGTTCTGTGTTTCAAGTATGATTTTTTTTTTTTTTTTTGGTGATATTGATTGTACCATTTTTGTGTTAGTGTATCTTCTTGAAATGGGAGCATGTAATTAATTGGCCAGGATATTTTTTTAATTTTGCAGTTCTGGGTCTCCAGTTTTAAAAAAGTAAGTTGCTCTTTGTCCGTTATTCTTCATAACCAAGTTTATGTGACAGACCTTACCTCCATAATCTAGTGCATAGTCCTGGAAGTTAGGGAGATTCCCAAAACAAAACAAAACGGAGTGTGTGAGATGGGCTTGCTTCTAGAAAGTTGCCTTTGGAACTTGCTAACTGATTTATGGAAAACCATGTGATTTTTGTTCTGTTTGTTCTGATGCAGCTTCCATGAGGCAGCCTCAGGCTGTACCCGCAGATATGCGCCCGGAGATATGGATTGCACAAGAGTTGCGGCGTATCGGAGACGAATTTAATGCATATTACCCAAGGAGGGTAATGATGTTTTATTTACCCCTTCTCCCTACACCCTCCCCCTCCCCACAAGTTTTTTTTAAGGCGACCAGTCATAATTCTGTACTTATTCTGGAAATGTGAGGTATCACTTATGTCTTACCTATCAGGGTTTCTCCTTTCCCGTTTCCCATTTTAAAACGTTTTGTGGATGAATTTTTTAAGTGATGGTAATGAAATACAGTACAAGGTGGCAAAGGGATTTCATGAGCACAGACCTTAACACATCCGTGCTAACAAAGGAATTATCAATAGGCTTTGAAATACTCCCACATAAATAGCAATATGGTTTCCAATCTGTATAGAGTGTTTCTTCATTCCCTCCGGGTCGTTTGGGTCAAAGTTAAAAAAGTAGGAGAACTTGCATCTTTACTCAGCCAAAAGGAATGAAGCCAGTGAGAGTCATATAATGTCACCCCTGTAATGTGACAGAGCAGGACAACCATTGCCCTTTCAGTCCGCATTGCTATCCTCGAGTGTCCATTTACAGAAATGTATTAGGAGGCCATCAGTCAGTGGTCTGTGATCTGGGGTCTAACCATTTTATACCTTGAATTGACTGCCACTGAAATTCTGAGGTGTGCTGTGGATTAAAAAACAAAACAAAACAGAACTTCCCTACATCTTCTTCTGTAGACACGGTGTACGTTTTGTTTGTTTTGCCCAGTGGCAACAGATATAACCATTTGGACGCCTTTAGCCCATGGACGACATTTTAAAATGCGTAAGTAAGCTTTCACTCCGGGAGTTAGGGCTGTTAGGAGTGTAGGCGAGTACTTCTGCACAGGGTACACGAGCAGATGTGTCCTATAATGAAATTTTGGCTTGTTGGCATTTTTTTCAAACAACCAAGTATGAAGATATTTCTGTGGATTTATCTAAAAAGAAGACACATCTTATTTTGTAGAAAATGTTACAATTGATACTACCATCCTTTCTTATGGTGTCTTGTCTTCTGGCTCCTTTTTTTTCTTTCTTTCTGAATATTATGGCTTCTGAACGTTATACTTCATAGAAGTATCTCTTCGAGATTTTTTTTTTTTTCCTATCTTTTTTTCTGGAAGGAGAGGTCATGCTTAGAATACCCCAGTACTTCTGTCCGTCTTTCATCGTTGGCCTCTTTGGTAGCTAGCTGTTGCTAAGTAAGTAGATGTTACCTGTTAATTGCTTTTAGTCATTCTTGTTTTCCCGTCCATACGATGCTTTTCAAACTTTTTTTAGGCACATGGAGACATCCTCCTATTTTCAGAGGGTCTTTTCATTAATTTCTTCAGTATAGAGTCATTGGTACGGAAGCCAGGGATGCTCTGAAAACTTACCCTGGATCCCCTTCGTACATTCCTGTGGGTGTGTGTGGTTGTGTTTGATGGGAAATGTGCTTTAGTATGATTCTCTTATTAAATGAGAAATGTCACACTGATGAATGAGTTCAGGAGTTTCTTACGTGGCTGTCTTTAGCTGGCAAGGGTACCGAGCATCCTACATCTGATGGTTACAGCGTATAAATTCCTTCACAGCCTAGCTCTGAAGTGGTCATTGTTTTTTGCAAGGTTGATTGGTTTGTAATTTGCCACTAAAATTATTCTCCTCCTCCCAGCACCCCCAGCTGCTTTGCCTTGGTTTCCCTGAAGGCATTTTGGTGTTCCTGTGTGTGACTGGACTCGGCCCTCCCGGTGGACCAGGAGGGATTGGGCAGAATCAGGACCCCAGTGCATTCATGATGAGGACCTCACGTTGGGGTGGGGAGGCTGACCGCGATTGAAGAGGGCAGGCTGATTCTGGGGGACATGTCCATAATTCAGCGGGAAAAGATGATATAGTGGCCTCTTGGGTTAGCCTAAGCAGCGAAGTGACCACTGTGCTGGGCCTGCCTTCTTCCCCCACCTTGAAGGGGTTTATAGATGTCCTTAGGCCAGATCTGACTTGTTGGGGCTGCCCAAGAGACGTGAGGCCATTGGGCTCTGTTGCCTTCAGAGTCCAGAAGCTCTGGACACCAACATGAACCCACACAGCTCCATTCTCAGGGACTGGATCAGAGCCTTTGGCCACACAGCCAGGTGTCTTATAAGGATATTGTGTGCAAGTTTCTCTTTAAACTTACACGGAGTATCAGTGACTCTCTAAGGCGTACCCCGGATGGACCTGGTTGATGCACCATGCACACACTGTGGTGGCCTGTGTGGTCAGCGCTAAGACACGGGCCAAGTGTGGCATGAGGGTTGGCGCACAGCCAAGCCCACGGCCATCCTCACATAGGCCTTCGAGGTGGATAGTCCCAAGTCATGTGCATTTGGGTCACAGGCCGTTGTGTTGTTGCCATCACCTTGCCTGTCCCTTGGAGGTGAGGGAACGGTGTCTAGCAGGTTATATCCTTCCTCTCCTCCTTTTCTCCCAGGTTCTGTCACAGTCCAGTGTTTCAGAAGATATTTAAGATGGCCATCTCTGTTTATTCAAATGACATGTAACCTGCTTGTTCTCAGTGCTTTTGGCGAAATAAATGTCCATTAGTTTCATTGCACTATCACATGGTTTTCTGGTTGTGAACCTTGTTTTGCATCCCTTTAAAAAAGTCAACCACTGGGAAAATGCAGTCACTGATCATTTAAGGGACTCTAGCTTTCTAAGTAGGCTGGGATATCGGGGGAGGCATAGGGACAGACTGTAGGTTATAACCTGATTTTTCTAAAACAGAGGCAAATACATTCTCCAGATTTAAATGAAGAACCCGTTCAAAACACCAGACCCTGGATGGTGACACGGTGACCCCCCCCCTCCCCCCCAAAGCTCCAGATGCCTGTCTTGGTAGTTGTTAGGTTAAAAATAATCCCTAGCCTGCAGCCACATTGATGGACGGTCTGTTGTTGAATAGTGGGGGTGGGAATCTGGGGAGGAAATGGGAGGCTGTAGCGGGAAGTAATGCATTCACGTCACCCGCTGGCTCACGGGGTGGGGGGG